CAGGAACTCCAGGAAGCACAACACAAAAGATTACACAAACTGCACAAAAATTCTAAGAAATAGAACATTATACAAACTGTCCAGACTGCACACAACCATAAATTTGCTGCTGTTTCTCCATTGAGCCCTAGCTTAACTGCAAACACTGTACATACAACACAAACTGCCCAAACTACATAAGCTACACAGACTGCCCAAACTACATAAGCTACACAGACTGCACAAAATATACCAGCTACATAAGCTGCCCAAACTGCCCAAACACACTGCCCAGACTGCAAACAACTCCCGAAATCTGTTAAGGCTGCAGTATATTGAACACTTTCACAATTTGTGTGTTTGGTCTAATCACAATTATTGCTCCCCTCTTTGGAAGTATATTGAACACTTTCACAATTCGTTCTACTATTAGTTGACATGCTTAGACTTCTATCAATCCCACCAGCATTTTCATTCAACATCAATTTGTTCTTCATGTCACTGATCATTTGCATCACCATATTACAATCATTGTCATTGTTTGATGCCAAATCTGCTACCATAGAGAATGAATTAGACAACTTATCAAATCATTGTCCTTCAAGATTCGTGCTCCAACTATTATAACTTATCCTAACTTTGGTGTGGCATCTGTATATATTTTTCCTCCACCGCCTTAAAATGTACTTTTCTAGTACACGATAAATTTCCTTATGAATCAACACCGCAATTGTATGTCGACATAAAATTCCCCTAAGCTCAAACAATCAACAATTGCAATGAACATCACAACTAGCTTCATCAAAGCAAACCACAAAAGGAACACGACGACACGTCTCTCCAACAATAACATCTTCCTTTACTATAAATTCCATATAGGAATCAATCTCTTTGAAAGAAGATATTTCACAATAGAGCTTAGCAGCAAGCTCTTGTTGAAACTCTTTGAATTTTACAATGGTGTATGCATCTTGAAATTGTTTCTCTATAGGATAAATGCTTGTGCAAGAGATCCTTGATTTGAAAGATTTAAAATCAACCTCCTTTTCTTTTTCCACTTTATCACGCAATGCATTCTCATATTGTTCCACAAACTGTTTTAAAGTGGTTTTTGAATTTATATATCCATTAAAGAATGCATGCATACTTTCATTACGTTGAGTAGTAGACATATCTGCCCAGAAAGTATCTTTTACAAATATTGGCACCCAACGTTGTCTTTCAGTATACAATCCAAGTAACCAGTCATTGTTGTGAAGGTTGTGCTTATCAATGAACCTATTCCAACGTTCTTCAAACTCCTCATGTGTCAATGAATCATACACGACATTTTGCAAAGAAAACTTAATATATTCATATTCGCGATAACTTTTCAACTTTTCCAACAATTTCTTCATTATATGCCACAAACACCATCTATGTCGTGTACCGGGAAACACTATCTCTATTGCATTTCGCATTGCCTTATCTTGATCAGTGATTATTGCCTTTGGAGCACAATTCGACATACATACAAGCCAAGATTTAAAAAGCCATACAAATGTCTGTGTGTCCTCGTTGGAGATTAATCCACAACCTAACAATGTTGAATGGCCATGATGGTCAACACCAACAAACGCAGCAAACGGAATATCATACTTGTTGGTCAAATATGTAGTATCGAAAGTTACAACGTCACCAAATTCTTTAAATGCGGCCCTACTTCTTGCATCCACCCACATAACATTTTTTAATCGACCTTCATCTAAATCCATAATGTAGAAGAAATTTGAATTATCATTTTGCATTTTTAGAAAATATTTTTGCATTGCATAAGCATCCCCAACACCAAGTCGTATCCTTCCAACTTTTTCAATGTAATTAATACAATCTTTTTGTAGGAAAGTCAAATTCTCAAGACAACTCGTTTCAACTAACAAGGAATTGAAATTTTTATTTGGTCTAATCTCGGTCCTATCACTCAATTAAAGCTTCCTTTTCAAACATGGTTGTATTGTTCGATTTCTCTTGAAATATCTAGTTTTGCCAAGACTACTAAGGTCATGGTTATGATCAAAGATAATTGACACTATTTGCCATTTTCCATCAGGACGTCGAGATGCAGTACTGCGAGCCTTATAATAAGGTTTTGTCAACGGTTGCGTTTTAAAGGCATTTCTAGAGTTACCATTCCACTTCCCACCACAAGAACAAGTCAGGTTTGCATATACCAACTCTCCATCATCTCCTTTCCTTGAAGATCTTATAATAACTTCAAAACCCATTTTATTCCCATAGCTTTTGTAGCATTGGAAAAACTTATCAAATGAATCAAAAACCATTCCAGGTTTGGGCTCCCATTCCTCTTCTGCACTTCTTGTATCTTCAATTTCTTCGAAATGATTACCTAGTTTATTGGTATTATAATAGCCAGAATTAGAATATAATAATACTTAAAATGATGGAAATAATATCATAAAAAAATTAAAATCATATTAATGAATAAAAAGACATTATGGAGACTAAATTACCTTCACGACATTGAATTAAGAAGAACAGTTCTCTGATTTTTTTAGACTACCCTCTTCCATCTTTGAGAGTGGTGGTGGAAGAAAAAGAGCAAATGGCGGCCGTTTACGGTGGTGGTGCGGTTAGGAGTGGTCGTTGCGCCGTTGATACTAGAGGTGGAAAACGGTTGTGATTGGTCGTGGTGGTGTAGTTAAATAAGAAATCTATTCACAAAAAAATATATCTACTTCAAAAAATAAAACCTATAATCAGAAACATAAACAAAAATAGTTCCCTCAAAAATTAAATTAACTTCTACCTATGATGGAAAATAGCGAAGAAACACTGGACCATAGTCAACTAAAGAAACTAAATTACAAAATAGAATCTAACACTAGTGTAATTTTCTTCCACAGCTTTCTTACAAAATAGTTTCATCAAGTCAAATATATATCCATATAGACCAAACATAATTCTATAGTTCTTTATACTTAAACACAAAGAACAAAGAATAACGAAAGTCAGAAATGTAGTAAGAACAAATAAAAGTGAGAAATTGTCACACACTCTAATTGTAGTTGGTTAAAAATAGGAGAGCCTTTAAGTCAATACCAGTGCCAAAAATATATGCTAAGCCGTAGCACACACCAAGCTAAATTTGTATGAATCTTTCTATTTTTTTTTTTAACATCAAATTTTTTTTTTTTCAATTGAGTTCCCAATTTGTACCTCTTTTAATTGGAATAGCAAACCAAATGAAAAATACCAAAAGGTTCATGCTAAATTTTTAGGTGATTATACAATAAATACTATGATTGGAGAATGAGTACAAGTGCTGTCTCTCTTTTTTTCATGTTCAGTGTGCTTATTATACAACCAGGATATCATTATAATCAAAGTACTACCAATATTTAGGCTGGTCAAATTCAAACATGAAGATTCCAGGGAAGATAACTATGTAGCAGTCACAGTTGTCTGAAACATTCATACAAAGTCTAAAAAGACTAATCATAATAAAGTTACTAAAAAGGAAAAAAAAAAAAAAAAAAGATGAAGAAGGAACTGGAAGCGGTGACCAATTAATGATCGACAATTTTAATTTTTACATTTGACCAAAGGTAGTTCTAAACCTCAAAATTACTATTCTTAGAGCATCTCCAAAGACTCTTTATATGACCTAAACTCTTATAAAGAGTTTATCCATAGAAATAAGAGACTAACAGACTCTTTATTCTTTAAATATAAATTAAAGAGTGAGATTGGTTCTCCACATTTAGAGAGTCAAATTTCACTCTCTATCTTAATTTTAAATAATAAATTGCAAGTTTCTATACATTTTATTTATGATTTATCTCTCCTATTAAGTTTCTTTCTTGAAAAAATATATTCTCTCTCCTAAAATTTAAAGAGTCTATTGAATTTGAATAAAAATTTTGTTCTTTATATTTAAAAATCAACGAAGACGTTCTTTATTTATATAAAATATACTCTTTAAAATAAAAGGCACAATTGGAGATGCTTTTATAAAAAAGAAATCTAAAGTTACGAAAGAATATTCAAAAGTGAACCTATGAATTGACTCAAAGAAGAAAAAAAAAGTGGTCTGCTCTCTTTACATTTTACCATAAGCCATGGAAATGGTAAAGAGAGATCAGTCGTGTATCTGTATCAATATCGTCACTTACACCAATATAAACACAAACACTTCCAAAGTAGAAGATATCATCATAGCACATTTTCTTTGTCTTCTTTCTTCTTCGGATTTTCTTTCTCTCTTTCTCTTTCTTTCTTTTTCAAACGCCAAGTTCAAATCAAATTGGTCTCCATACTTCTCTCTTACCAATACAAAATCTCAACTTCCCGTGCTTCACTTTCACTTTAACTTTAAACTTACACTTAAATGTCTCTTCTCTCTTCTATTGGGAACTCCTTCTTTTTCTTTCTTCTAAATCTCTCTCTCTATTGTGTTTAGAGTCTTATTGACCGACATTCTTTTTTGTTCCAAACGAATGTTACTTCAAGTATCAAACTAAGACTCCCCCACATTCACCAACACCTTCAAAAATCCCAAAAAAAAAAAAAAAAACCAACAAAAAAACAAACAAAAATATAGTTATTTCTTTCTGGGGTTTTGCATGAACTGAAGAAGCAAATTTACTTCACAGTTTGAACTGATATTCAGTAATGGGATAATTTAATGGACCACTGATCATTTGTGTACATTTATCAATGGTGTTTGACATTGTGTTTAGCGTTCTACTATTAACTCAAGTAAAGATTCTAAGTAAGAAAGTTTCATTGTTTTGCAAGCACTCTACTTGAAATTTTAATTGTCTAAATTATATTTTATATATATGCATAAATTAATATGAGAAATCAGTCTTAAAATTACAATATTATTAGAGTGTACATTTAAATCAAGCATTACCGTAGAACTCCTAACATTTATAGAACACAAACAAGCATTCAAAAAATTTTACTACAGCAAACGGTTATAGTTGACAACTAAAAAAAAAAAAAAAAATTTGCAAAATATGTACAGAACCTTTCCTGGTGTGGCTGTGGTGGCGGCTGACATTGGTGGTGATGGTGGTGGTAGTGCGGAGGTCGTGTAACACTGGTGGTGGAAGAGTAACGGCTGAAGTGACGGCCGTTTAGGGTGGAGATCGGTTGGGGCGCGGCTGATATTGGTGGTGGTGGTGGAAGAGGATCAGCTGAAGTGAAGGCCGTTTGGGATGGTGGACGGTGGCGACCTGGTGCGCTGTAGTGCGGCTGAAATTGGAGTTGTGGTGGCTAGGTTCTAAAAACTGAAAGGAAATGGGGGGAAAATGTTGAGGGTTTGTATCTTAGGAAATAATTTCATTTAGGATTTGATTTAGGGAAGGTGAAATTTGAAATTTAAGGTAAGTGAAAAAAAAAAAAACATTTTGGGAGACATGCAATATAGGATGATGTGGCAGATGATATGGCACGTCCTTATGTGCAGATGATGTATTGTATTGTTTGGAATTGGGGAATAAGGTGAGAAATGGAGTTGATACTGAGCAACATATCAATGGAAATCAGAATCTTTTTCAATGAATTTTTATTTCTCATTGATAATCTGTGTTTCATGTTTTTGGTCATTTAAACTCGATTAAGAGAGAAATAGTCAGTTAGCAGCTGAATACACTCATGTTTTGCCATTTGTAAATTTCACAGAGGTGGATTTTGTTACCAGATGATCTACTTACAGGCAACCAATACTTGTTCCGAATCTATCTCCATAATCTTGAACTGGTAAAATTTTCCAACATCAGCCATCCCTATATGATAAATAACATCATCAAACACTTCTTACAACATACAAATTTCAAACACATTTTTCAAGAATTATTTAACGTACAGCAACACAATGGATCCCAGCCATGCTACAATAATCGGCATGGTAGTGACTACGGAGCCCCGCCCCCGTCCAACTACTCCGGAGACGATACATATTCAGGGGCGCCAACATCACATACTCATCATGCAGGATCCTATCAAGCTGATGCTTATGCAGCAACAGTTCATGGGCACCACTCGAATGCAGTTGGTTACAGCCACGGAGGCGTCGGCTATGGTGGGGGCAGGGAAGGTGGCGGCTATGGTGGAGGCGGGGGTGATGGTGGCTATGGTGGCAGTGGCAGTGGCACTGTTGGTCTTCTGCAAGGCTGACCCTAATTTCTCTCTGGCCGTTAAGTATAATACACACCTGGTTCTTACACCAACTGACCAAGAGAAGTTGAGCAGGTAATAATTTTACAATATGTTAGGTTCACGATTTTCTCCTCGTAATCTCGACGTGACAGTATGTCATTGATTAGCTCATAAATAGACAAGCGAGACTCACAGCAGGTAGGACCTATTTTATGAGCTGACCACTTATGAGTTGTCACGTCGAGAGTCGTGAGATTGGTTTGTGAGCCTAAAATTACTCATATTTTTTTCCTACTTAATTGTTTCAAAGGAAAAATTGGGTTGATTATGGATTCCAACCATAGCACATGATTCATAAAACTATACCATTATCCATCCTTATCTAAATAAGCATGTTTTACATGAATCCATAATGTGATTAGAGTACGGTTTTGGTTTGTGGTTTTTGATAGCGTTGGTACAAAGACGAAAGGTTCAGCAGAAACGAAAGATGAAGAAGCTTCCATGCTTTTCTCTCATTAATAAAGCTACTAATCTCGCCATGAAGCACGCCAAGGGAGACAAGCAACATGTAAGAATTTTACGAGTCTCTGTTCTCATATCATCGATTCCTCCATTATTTCACCTTCATTTACAATGTTGTGCAGTGCAGCTGGTGCCTTATAATCCAAATACTTATGATGAATCTATACTGTGGTCATGAGCAGGATTTCGGAGATGGGTACCGAGCAATGAGAATGGTTAATAACATTCGGCTGAATGTTGATGCTCTGAACGGAGACAAACAATCCGGTGGTGTTCATGACGGCACCAACTTGTGCTCTGGAATGGAACCAGGGAGACAACCATTTTTGGAAGATCCAAAGCTATTGTAAGTTACCCACAAATAATATTAACAATTCAGGGACAGAAAATTAACTTTAGAGGAAGTAAGTTCAAAATATATAATATAAATAAAAACAGGGGAAAAAAAAAATTTGGGTCAAATTTAGAAATATTAATACAAGTACAGGATAGTCAAAGCAAAAAAACAAACCACATGGAAAAAAAATTTGAGTCTGATATTTTAATTTCTTCCTAATCTGCAGGATAATTTTGTTGATTTTAACTATCTCTAAGTGATCGAGTGATTCGATAAGAACTCTTAGTATATTACTCAAAAGATTCTGAATTCAAGTCCCTCCGATTACTAATAGGGTAGCCACTGAGATTTTTACCCGACCGATAGTTTCTAAGTCCCGAATGATTAGTTGAGATGCATGTAAGCTGGCATGAACATCTCCGGCTAAAAAAAAAATTATTGATTTTTTGCCAATCAAGGAGTTAATCTGTAGTGTTGGCTTTTTTTTAGAATGGAGTGGTGTTGCTTCTTTAAATGGTTTTATCTTCTGTGTTTACTTGGTATTATGTTGTTGTTTGTAATAAAAGCTTATGGTAATTAGCAAATTATATAAATCACAATATTTCTATGATTACTGCATACTTACAATGTGTTCCAATCTTTGGTTACTTCTATTCACTAAATCCTTCTTAAATGTTCCGTGTTACCAATAGTTAACAATGATAATAAATTATGAGTTCTAATTGTAATCTTCCGTATTATCAAAGAGTTGAATAATAAAAACGGATTATGAGTTTAATTTATATATATTTACGTTAAACATTAAAGTTTATTTAACCTATATACATCGTTAAGAAACCTACATATAACCCACAATGACAAATACTAAGCCGATAACATGTTTTGAGAGAATTCATCCGAATATTCAATTACATTTATTTTAATTAAAAAAACCAGGGAATTAAATAATTCATATTTTTATTGTATGTTAGTTTTTAAAAATTGTTTTAATATCATAAAATAAACTTATAATTTTATTTGCTCTTAATTATGAGATTAATTAAGTATTAAATACTAATAATTTTAATTTTAAACTTGTAAAAGTTGATAAATAGAGTTGAGTTAGGATTAAGTCATGTCAGAAAATAATTATGAAAATAGGGTGTAAAATGACATCAACTTTTGTCTTGTAATTAGAGTTGTTATGACTTTTTAATTAGTTAATTTTCAAAATCAAATCTCTTATAGTTTGGTTAAAAACAACCATCAAAATCAACCTCCTGTACTTTTCAATTCATCTGGCACACTATTTTTCACCTACTTTTTTCTATTAATCATTCTAAAATATATATATCCATTCAATTTCATACACTATTCATTACATCATCTATTTTTCTTTTTGGAATAACATATAATAAAAGGAAATTTTTTTTTTTTTTTTTTTTGATAACCTAGGTTTAATCCCCGAGACCTATTAACATCCTACACACCCAATGAATCAGACTATATAATAAAAGAAAAATTAAAAAAATAATAATAAACAAGTAAGTCACAAATGTGGTTAATGAGAAAAACCATCCAAAGAGATCATGCCATCCCATCCTGTGAGGGATCTTCTCTCTTTCTCTTTGAGGAGGCTAAGTTAGAGAAAGGAATGTCGGGAATGAAGATGGGGCACTGGGACTAGAGCTTGTGGTTAACTATTTATATTCATCTTCCTCACATTAAGCCTTGACGGGGGTGAGTGCAAAGAGAAAGCAGAGTAGGAATTCGGAATAGACAGTTTGAAAGAACAACGTAACTGCAACTATAATCAACCTTCCCTGACTCCAATCGAGACTCATACACAAGATCTTTAGGTAACCCACCCAGATAGCTAAAGTTTTGCCATCTAACCACACCCGATGGTTATTTTTACACTTTATTTATTTTAATTAATATTTAATTGCATGTTAAAAATTTAGGTAGGGTATGTATATATAAACATAAATTTTATGACCCTCATAGTATATTAATTCATTAAAAATAGCAAATAACAAAATAATTCACACCAATACATTGACTAAACAAATTAAATGGGGTCGTGACAGCTCTATCAATATTAGTTGATATAGTACAATTCATTCATAACATTAATAATTTTTCATTATTCATGTACTAAAATCTTGGTATTAATTTGATTGTGATTAAAATAGGTGGTGCCTTACCCCTTATTGCTTTTGACCGATTTTTCATACTCTAACTGATTTTCGTAGTCTAAAAATTAATAAGTTGAATTAAGAGTAATAATGCAACGAAAATTGAAGAATCAGTCAATCTAAACACGATATGATCATATGACTCAAATATGTATTTATAAATTTTTGAACAAATTTTTTAATATGAAACGGTAATGTCACGTCATATTTTTAATTTTCTTAATATATTTTTAATTTTTACTTCCCAGTTATAAAATATAATTTGGTTTTGTGTAGGAATTTGAATGCTAAGAGCAGTTTTAAACTAGTTTTTTGACAGGAACAAAACCTAGGCTGTGGTCCAATGGGCCTAATTTGGCAGCAGTCTAATCAATCTAGAAAGTAAAGGGCCTACTTTAACCGTGGGTAATATTAATTTACTTTTATATTTAGATGTAAATAATAGTAACTGTTGTTATTTTGTTATAAGAGGGAGAGGAAATGTTCCCACCCAAGGTTTGGCGAAATGACACTTTCTACTCATCAGTTTTAAAATGATAATTTTTCACCCTTCGTTAGATTTATTATGTTTTCCGTTAATATTTTACTGAAAAGACAAAAACACCCTTAATATTTTCCTGTATAATTTTTTATTATTTTTTAATTAGTCAAATTTAAAAATTCAAAAAAGAAAAATATTTAACCTCACCTAAAAGTTATGAGTAATGCTATAAAATTGTTTAAAGTTAAATAATCTTAATATTTATTTATAATGTCATCATATCACATCACTATTATTTATAATGTTTTTCATTTTTACTAATTAACATAAAAATCATATTCATAATTAATTAAATAATAAAGAAAAAATGTATCTTTATACTTGGACTAATATAATCAAATAAAGACTTTGAATTAACTAATTTTAATTTATATAAACTAATTAGAAATAAACTATTTAAGGATATTTTCGTCTTTTCAGTTAAATATTAACTGAAAACACTAATAGAACCTAATGAAAGGTCAGAAAGTGTCATTTTGAAACTTGATGTGGGAAAGTGTCATTTTATCAAACCTTGGGTGGAAAATGTCGTTCTCCCTTTATAGAATAAGTGTTAACTAACCAACCCTCGGGTGATGAGTGGTTTAGTAAAGACTCTTTGGTATATTATTCAAGAGATTTTAAGTTCGAGTCCTCCTCAGTTACTAGTATGGGTGACCACTGGAGCTTTTATCCGTGGTAGTTATAGGATCTTGTAGATTAATTGAGGTATGCGTAAACTGATCCGAATACCCCCTATCATCCAAATATATATATAAGGGTTAAATAATGCCACCCTGATTTTCCCCTCATTTTTTGGAAATAACGCTAACACCCCCATTGTTAGCTTCCCTTACATTCATAAATGGTTGACCCATTTTGATCACTTAAATCTCAGTTTTACCCTTATTAATCACAATTTTTTAAATTGACTTGACAACTATATTATTTACTAATATAAGATATATATTATTACTTAAATAATACTATAATTTTTATTAAAAATAATAACATAATCTATTCAAATTATTGAAATTTTAAAACAACAAATTAAATATCAATTAAACAATAAAATCATAATATTAAAGAAGAAAAAAATTATTAGTGATGGCCAACGCATTTGCTAGGCCATGTACCCACGGGCCACGGCTGATTGCGCTATTGGCTATTAGTTTTTTGTTTTTTCTTGATATATTTCTGTTTCTTTGTTAAGTTATTATTATTATTATTATTATTATTTTTAATTTATTTTCCTACCCATGCACCCTTAATAGCTTTAACAGGTAGAAACTCCAATGGGGGTGTCATGTTAGTTTCCCGGAATTGTGGGAGGAAGGCGTTCGTACACCAAAACTCAGGGATAGCAATACTTAACCCATAAGAATAATAATCTGCACCAATTTTGAACCTTAAGCAATCCACTGTTTGTCCACAACACACAGGTCAAAATCAGCAAAGCAATCTTATTTAACTTCGTTTATTGCATCAATACATAATAAATTCTGCAAAATATTACAATTTTCTTTTTTTTATGAAGGACAGTATTCAGGTTAGCTTACGTGTACTTCAACTAATCTTTTGGGACCCTAGAATTACCGATTGGGTAAGAGATCTAGTGGTATCCCTATTAGTAACCGAGGAGAGACTCGAACTTAAGACTTCTTGAGTAATAGTGTAATACACCCAATAGTCTCTATCAAACCGCTCGACCACCCAGAAATAGTTAAAATACTATAATATTATCAAACCAATAAGACATCAACTCATAATCTTATACACTTCACAGAAAACTGACAACAAAAGAAAATTTGTTATTTTAGATACCCAAAAATGATATTATTATTTATGATATTTTAAGGGTAAAATCATAATTAACTCTTATTCATACGAGATTGTAAACATATAACCAACCCTTGGGTAGCCAAATAGTTTGATAGGGACTCTTGAGTGCAGTGATGAACGAGTTTGGGTACTCGCCCTTTTTTGAACGAACCAGAATCGGAATTTGTTTTATTAGATGTATTACTCAAGAGGTCCTGGGTTCAAGTCCCTCCTCGGTTGCTAATAGGTGTGGCCATTGGATCTTTTACCTAACTGGTAGTTTCAGGGTCCTGAGAAATTAGTTAAGATACGCGTAAGCTAGCTCGGACACCCTCCAACATAAAAAAATAAAAATAAAAATTGTAAACATATCAATGATCAAAATTATTATCGTTTAATCTATCTAATATATTTAATTCTGATGTAGTATCTAGATGGTTGTTGTTTAGTTTTAGAGTAGTAAATGACAGCAAATAATAATGATAATAAATAAGGTAATGAGATTAGTGATTAATACAAGTAAAGGGAAATTTCTTAATTGGGTTTTTGGTTGTAATAAGGACAAAGACACATGTGTCACATTGGCCAATTGGGTGTTGCTTTCTTCTACTGTTAAGTCTGTTAGTTTTATGGTTAGAGCAGTTAGGTGTATTGCTCTCAATGGATCCCCTTCATTTATTACCCAAATTTTGTATAACTATAATAATAATATACCACCAAACCCTTAAACAAAAGTCAATTAAATTGACTTTTAATTAATCAAATCCACTTCAATTACCATTTAAATATTGAGATTAGAATAAGATTAATTATTTAGAGTTGAGTTAGGATTAAGTCATGTCAGAAAATAATTATGAAAATAGGGTGAAAATGACATCAACTTTTGTCTTGTATTAGAGTTGTTAATGACTTTTTAATTAGTTAATTTTCAAAATCAAATTCTTCTTATAGTTTGGTTAAAAACAACCATCAAAATCAACCTCCTGTACTTTTCATTCATCTGGCATCACTATTTTCACCTACTTTTTTCTATTACAATTCTAAAATATATATATCCATTCAATTTCATACAACTATTCATTACATCATCTATTTTTCTTTTTGGAAATACAATATAATAAAAGGAAATTTTTTTTTTTTTTTTTTGATAACCTAGGTTTAATCCCCGAGACCTAAACATCCTACAAGCCCAATGAATCAGACTATATAATAAAAGAAAAATTAAAAAATAATAATAAATCAAGTAAGTCACAAATGTGGTAATGAGAAAAACCATCCAAAGAGATCATGCCATCCCATCCTGTGAGGGGATCTTCTCTCTTTCCTCTTTGGAGGAGGTCTAAGTTGAGAGGAAAGGAATGTCGGGAATGAGGATGGGGCACTGGGACTAGAGTTGTGGTAACTATTTATATTCATCTTCCTCACAATTAAGCCTTGACGGGGGTGAGTGCAAAGAGAAAGAGGCAGAGTAGAATTCGGAATAGACAGTTTGAAAGACAACGTAACTGCAACTATTGATAACCTTCCCTGACTCAATCGGAGACTCATACACAAGATCTTTAGGTAACCCACCCAGATAGCTAAAGTTTTGCCATCTAACCACAAGCCCGATGGTTATTTTTACACTTTATTTATTTTAATTAATATTTAATTGCATGTTAAAAATTTAGGTAGGGTAATGTATATATGAAACATAAATTTATTGACCCTCATAGTATAATTAATTTCATTAAATTAAATAGCAAATAACAAAATAATTCACACCAATACATTGACTAAACAAATTAAATGGGGTCGTGACAGCTCTATCAAATTAGTTGATAAGTACAATTCATTCAATACATTAATAATTTTTCATTATTCATGTACTAAAATCTGGTATTAATTTGATTTGATTAAATAGGTGGTGCCTTACCCCTTTATTGCATTTTGACCGATTTTTCATACTCTAACTGATTTTCGTAGTCTAAAAATTAATAAGTTGAATTAAGAGTAATAATGCAACGAGATATGAAGAATCAGTCAATCTAAACACGATATGATCATATGACTCAAATATGTATTTATAAATATTTTGAACAAATTTTTTAATATGAAACGGTAATTGTCACGTCATATTTTTAATTCTACTATATATTTTAATTTTTACTTCCCAGTTATAAAATATAATTGGTTTTGTGTAGGGAATTTGAATGCTAAGAGCAGTTGTTAAACTAGTGTTTTGACAGGAACAAAACCGTAGGCTGTGGTCCAATGGGCCTAATTTGGCAGCAGTCTAATCAATCTAGAAAGTACAGGGCCTACTTTAACCGTGGGTAATATTAATTTTACTTTTATATTTAGATGTAAATAATAGTAACTGTTGTTATTTTGTTATAAGAGGGAGAAGGAAATGTTCCCACCCAAGGTTTGGCGAAATGACACTTTTCTACTCATCAGTTTTAAAATGATAATTTTTCACCCTTCGTTAGATTTTATTATGTTTTCCGTTAATATTTTACTGAAAAGACAAAAACACCCTTAATATTTTCCTGTATAAATTTTTTATTATTTTTTAATTAGTCAAATATTAAAAATTCAAAAAAGAAAAATATTTAACCTCACCTAAAAAGTTATGAGTAATGCTATAAATTGTTTAAAGTTAAATAATCTTAATATTTATTTATAATGTCATCAATATCACATCACTATTATTTATAATGTTTTTCATTTTTACTAATAACATAAAAATCAATATTCATAATTAATTAAATAAATAAAGAAAAAATGTATCTTTATACTTGGACTAATAAATAATCAAATAAAGACTTTGAATTAACTAATTTTAATTTATAATAAACTAATTAGAAATAAACTATTTAAGGATATTTCGTCTTTTCAGTTAAATATTAACTGAAAACACTAATAGAACCTAATGAAAGGTCAGAAAGTGTCATTTTGAAACTTGATGGTGGGAAAGTGTCATTTTATCAAACCTTGGGTGGGAAATGTCGTTCTCCCTTTATAAGAATAAGTTTAACTAACCAACCCTCGGGTGATGAGTGGTTTAGTAAAGACTCTTTGGTATATTATTCAAGAGATTTTAAGTTCGAGTTCCTCCTCAGACTAGTAGGGTGACCACTGGAGTTTTATCCGGTGGTAGTTATAGGATCTTGTAAGATTAATTGAGGTATGCGTAAACTGATCCGAATACCCCCTATCATCCAAATATATATATAAGGGTTAATAAATGCCACCCTGATTTTCCCCTCATTTTTTGGAAAATAACGCTAACACCCCCATTGTTAGCTTCCCTTACATTCATAAATGGTTGACCCATTTTGATCACTTAAATCTCAGTTTTACCCTATTAATCACAATTTTTTAAATTGACTTGACAACTATTATTTACTAATATAAGATATATATTATTACTTAAAAATACTATAATTTTTATTAAAAAATTATAACTAAATCTATTCAAATTATTGAAATTTAAAACAACAAATTAAATATCATTAAACAATAAATCTAATAATTAAAGAAGAAAAAAAATTATTAGTGATGGCCAACCATTTGCTAGGCCATGTACCCGGGCCACGGCTGATTGCGCTATTGGCTATTAGTTAAATTTGTTTTTTTCTTGATATATTTCTGTTTCTTTGTTAGTTATTATTATATTATATTATTATTATTTTTTAATTTATTTTCCTACCCAGCACCCTTAATAGCTTTAACAGGTAGAAACTCCAATTGGGGCGTGTTCATTTTGTTACCAGATGATCTTCCTACAGGCAACCACTACTTGCTCCAATTCTATCTCCATAATCTTGAACTGGTAAAATTTTCCAACATCAGCCATCCCTATATGATAATAACAATCATCAAACACTTCTTACAACATACAAATTTCAAACACATTTTTCAAGAATTAATTTAACGTACAGCAACAACAATGGATCCCAGCCATGGCTACAATAATCGGCATGGTAGTGACTACGGAGCCCCGCCCCCGTCCAACTACTCCGGAGACGATACATATTCAGGGGCGCCAACATCACATACTCATCATGCAGGATCCTATCAAGCTGATGCTTATGCAGCAACAGGTCATGGGCACCACTCGAATGCAGTTGGTTACAGCCACGGAGGCGTCGGCTATGGTGGGGGCAGGGAAGGTGGCGGCTATGGTGGAGGCGGGGGTGATGGTGGCTATGGTGGTGGCAGTGGCAGTGGCACTGTTAGGATCTTCTGCAAGGCTGACCCTAATTTCTCTCTGGCCGTTAAGTATAATAACACACTGGTTCTTACACCAACTGACGCAAGAGAAGTTGAGCAGGTAATAATTTTACAATAATGTTAGGTTCACGATTTTCTCTCGTAATCTCGACGTGACAGTATGTCATTGATTAGCTCATAAATAGACAAGCGAGACTCATACAAGCAGGTAGGACCTATTTTATGAGCTGACCACTTATGAGTTGTCACGTCGAGAGTCGTGAGATTGGGTTGTGAGCCTAAAATTACTCATATTTTTTTCCTACTTAATTGTTTCAAAGGAAAAATTGGGTTGATTATGGATTCCAACCATAGCACATGATTTCATAAAACTATACCATTATCCATCCTTATCTAAATAAGCATGTTTTACATGAATCCATAAATGTGATTAGAGTAGCGGTTTTGGTTTGGTGGTTTTTGATAGCGTTGGTACAAAGACGAAAGGTTCAGCAGAAACAGGAAAGATGAAGAAGGCTTTCCATGCTTTTCTCTCATTAATAAAGCTACTAATCTCGCCATGAAGCACGCCAAGGGAGACAAGCAACATGTAAGAATTTTACGGAAGTCTCTGTTCTCATATCATCGATTCCTCCATTATTTCACCTTCATTTACAATGTTGTGCAGGTGCAGCTGGTGCCTTATAATCCAAATACTTATGATGAATCTATACTGTGGTCAATGAGCAAGGATTTCGGAGATGGGTACCGAGCAATGAGAATGGTTAATAACATTCGGCTGAATGTTGATGCTCTGAACGGAGACAAACAATCCGGTGGTGTTCATGACGGCACCAACATTGTGCTCTGGGAATGGAACCAGGGAGACAACCAGTTATGGAAGATCCAAAGCTATTGTAAGTTACTCAACAAATAATATTAAACAATTCAGGGACAGAAAAATTAACTTTAGAGGAAGTAAGTTCAAAATAATATAATATAATATAAAACAGGGGAAAAAAAAAATTTGGGTCAAATTTAGAAATATTAATACAAGTACAGGATAGTCAAAGCAAAAAAACAAACCACATGGAAAAAAAATTTGAGTCTGATATTTTAATTTCTTCCTAATCTGCAGGATAAATTTTGTTGATTTTAACTATCTCTAAGTGATCGAGTGATTCGATAGAAACTCTTAGGTATATTACTCAAAAGATTCTGAATTCAAGTCCCTCATCGATTACTAATAGGGGTAGCCACTGAGATTTTTACCCGACCGATAGTTTCTAAGTCCCGAATGATTAGTTGAGATGCATGTAAGCTGGCATGAACATCTCCGGCTAAAAAAAAAATTATTGATTTTTTGCCATATCAAGGAGTTAATCTGTAGTGGTGGCTTTTTTTTAGAGATGGAGTGGTGTTGCTTCTTTAAATGAGTGGTTTTATTCTTCTGTGTTTACTTGGTATTATGTTGTTGTTTGTAATAAAAGCTTATGGATAATTAGCAAATTAATATAAATCACACATATTTCTATTGAATTACTGCATACTTACAATGTGTTCTGGTCTTTGGTTACTTCTATTATCAGCTAAATCCTTCGTGTTACCAAATAGTTGAACAATGATAATAAATTACGAGTTCTTAATTGTGATCTTCCGTATTACCAAAGAGTTGAATAATAAAAACGGATTATGAGTTTAATTTTATATATATTACATGTTATCAAAAAGTTGAACATTAAAGATAGATTATAAGTTCTTAGCTGATACGTCGTTAAAAAACCTTCATATAAGCCACAATGATAAATACTAAGCCGATAACATGTTTTGAGAGAATTCATTCGAATATTCAATTAAATGTATTTTAATTAAAAAAAACCAGGGAATTAAATAATTCATATTTTTATTGTATGTTAGTTTTTAAAAATTGTTTTAATATCATAAAATAAACTTATAATTTTATTTGCTCTTAATTATGAGATTAATTAAGTTATTAAATACTTAATAATTTTAAATTTTAAACTTGTAAAAGTTGATAAATAGAGTTGAGTTAGGATTAAGTCATGTCAGAAAATTAATTATGAAAATAGGGTGTAAAATGACATCGATTTTTGTCTTGTAATTAGAGTTGTTAATGACTTTTTAATTAGTTAATTTTCAAAATCAAATTCTTCTTATAGTTTGGTTAAAAACAACCAATCAAAATCAACCTCCTGTACTTTTCAATTCATCTGGCATCACTATTTTTCACCTACTTTTTTCTATTAATCAATTCTAAAATATATTCAATTTCATACAACTATTCATTACATCATCTATTTTTCTTTTTGGAAATACAATATAATAAAAGGAAATTTTTTTTTTTTTTTTTTTGATAACCTAGGTTTAATCCCCGAGACCTATTAAACATCCTACAAGCCCAATGAATCAGACTATATAATAAAAGAAAAATTAAAAAAATAATAATAAATCAAGTAAGTCACAAATGTGGTTAATGAGAAAAACCATCCAAAGAAGATCATGCCATCCCATCCTGTGAGGGGATCTTCTCTCTTTCCTCTTTGGAGGAGGTCTAAGTTGAGAGGAAAGGAATGTCGGGAATGAGAGATGGGGCACTGGGACTAGAGCTTGTGGTTAACTATTTATATTCATCTTCCTCACAATTAAGCCTTGACGGGGGTGAGTGCAAAGAGAAAGAGGCAGAGTAGGAATTCGGAATAGACAGTTTGAAAGAACAACGTAACTGCAACTATTGAATCAACCTTCCCTGACTCCAATCGGAGACTCATACACAAGATCTTTAGGTAACCCACCCAGATAGCTAAAGTTTTGCCATCTAACCACAAGCCCGATGGTTATTTTTACACTTTATTTATTTTAATTAATATTTAATTGCATGTTAAAAATTTAGGTAGGGTAATGTATATATGAAACATAAATTTATTGACCCTCATAGTATAATTAATTTCATTAAATTAAATAAGCAAATAAACAAAATAATTCACACCAATACATTGACTAAACAAATTAAATGGGGTCGTGACAGCTCTATCAATATTAGTTGATATAGTACAATTCATTCAATACATTAATAATTTTTCATTATTCAATGTACTAAAATCTTGGTATTAATTTGATTTGATTAAAATAGGTGGTGCCTTACCCCTTTATTGCATTTTGACCGATTTTTCATACTCTAACTGATTTTCGTAGTCTAAAAATTAATAAGTTGAATTAAGAGTAATAATGCAACGACGAATATGAAGAATCGGGTCAATCTAAACACGATACGATCACATGACTCAAATATGTATTTATAAATATTTTGAACAAATTTTTTAATATGAAACGGTAATTGTCACGTCATATTTTTAATTTTCTTAATATATTTTTAATTTTTACTTCCCAGTTATAAAATATAATTTGGTTTTGTGTAGGGAATTTGAATGCTAAGAGCAGTTGTTAAACTAGTGTTTTGACAGGAACAAAACCGTAGGCTGTGGTCCAATGGGCCTAATTTGGCAGCAGTCTAATCAATCTAGAAAGTACAGGGCCTACTTTAACCGTGGTAATATTAATTTTACTTTTATATTTAGATGTAAATAATAGTAACACGAATATCATACTTGTTGGTCAAATATGTGTCAAAAGTTACAAGTCACCAAATCTTTTAAATGCGGCCCTACTTCTTGCATCCACCCACATAACATTTTTTAATCGACCTTCTTCATCAAAATCCATAATATAGAAGAAATTTGAATTATCATTTTGCATTTTCAAAAAATTTTTTGTATGCATAAGCATCCCCAACACCAAGTCGTATCCTTCCAACTTTTTAATGTGTTAATACAATCTTTTTGCGGAAAGTCAAATCTCAGACAACCGTCAACTACCAAGGAATTGAAATTTTTATTTGGTCTAATCTCAATCCTATCATTCACTTCAAGCTTCCTTTTCAAATTCGGTTGTATTGTTCGATTGCTCTTGAAATATTTTTTGCCAAGACTACTAAGTTCAGATTATGATCAAAGATAATTGACACTATTTGCCATTTTCCATCAGGACGTCGAGATGCAGTACTGCGGCCTTACAATAAGTTTTTGTCAACGATGCGTTTTAAAGGCATTTCTAGAGTTACCATTCCACTTCACCACAAGAACAAGTCAGGTTTGCGTATATCAACTCTCCATCATTCCTTTCCTTGAAGATCTTATAATAGCTTCAAAACCATTTTATTCCCATAGCTTTTGTAGTATTGGAAAAACTTATCAAATGAATCAAAAACCATTCCAGGCGGGCTCCCATTCCTCTTTTGCACTTCTTGTATCTTCAATTTCTTCAAAATGATTACCTGATTTATTGAGATTATAATAGCCAGAATTAGAATATAATAATACTTAAAAGGGTGGAAATAATATCATAAAAAAATTAAAATATATTAATGAAGAAAAAAAACATTATGGAGACTAAATTACCCCATGACATTGAATTGAGAAGAACAGTTCTCTGATTTTTTTAGACTACACTCTTCCATCTTTGAGAGTGGTGGTGGAAGAAAAAGAGCAAATGGCTGCTGTTTACGGTGGTGGTGCGGTTAGGAGGTGGTGTGGCACGTTGACAAGAGGGGAAAGGTTGTGACGGTGTGGTGGTGCGGTTAATTAGAAAATATTCAAAAAATAAAAATATCTATTTCAAAAAAAAACCTATAATCAGAAACAAAACAAAAATAGTTCCCTCAAAAATTAAATAATCTTCTACCTATGATGGAAAATGGCGAATAAACACTAGACCATAGCAACTAAAGAAACTAAATTAAAAATAGAATCTAACCATAGTGTAATTTTCTTCCACAGCTTCTTACAAAATAATTTCATTAAGTCAAATATATCCTATAGACCAAACAAAATTCTATAGTTCTTTATACTTAAACACAGAGAACAAGAATAACGCAAGCAGAAATGTAGGAAGACAATAAAAGTGAGAAATTATCACACACTCTAATTGAATAGGTTAAAAATAGGAGAGCCTTTAAGCCAATACCAATGCCAAAAAATATGCTAAGCCGTAGCACACACCAAGCTAAATTTGTATGAATCTTTCTATTTTTTTTTTTTTTTTTTTTTTTTTGAACATCAATTTTTTTTTTCAATTGAGTTCCTAATTTGTACTCTTTATTGGAATACAAACCAAACGAAAAATACCAAGGTTCACGCTAAATTTTTAGGTGATTATACAATAATAATATGACTGGAGAATGAGTACAAGTGCTGTCTCTTTTTTTCCTGTTCAGTGTGCTTATTATACAACAGGATATCATTATATCAAAGTACTATCAAATTTAGGCTGGTCAAATTCAAACATGAAGATTCCAGGGAGGTAACTATGTAACAGTCACAGTTGTCTGAAACCTTCATACAAAGTCTAAAAAGACTAATCATAATAAAGTTACTAAAATAGGAAGGAAAAAAAAGATGAAGAAGGAACTGGAAGCGATGACAATTAATGATCGACAATTTTACCTTTATGTTGACCAAGTAGTTCTAAACCTCAAAATTACTATTCTTAGAGCATTTAAAGGAATTTTTATATGACCTAAACTCTTTATTATAAAAAGTTTATCCATAGAAACAAAAGTCCAACAGACTCTTTATCTTTAAATAAAAATTAAAGAGTAAGATTGGCTCTCTACATTTAGAGAGTCAAATTTCACTCTCTATCCTAATTTTAAATAATAAATTGCAAGTTTCTATGCATTTATTTATGATTTATCTCCTACTAAATTTCTTTCTTGAAAAAACATATTCTCTCTACTAAATTTAAAGAGTCTATAGTGATTTGAATAAAAAATTTGTTCTTATATTTAAAAATCAATGAAGATGCTCTTATTTATATAAAATATGCTCTTTAAAATAAGAGCACCATAAGATGTCTTATGAAAAAGAAATCTAAGTTACGAAAGAAAATTAAAAGTGAACCTATGAATTGACTCAAAGAAGAAGATAAAAGAGAAGAGAAAAAAAAAAGGTGGTCTGCTCTCTTTCATTATCATAAGCCATGGAAATGGTAAGACAGATCAGTCGTGTATCTGTATCAATATCGTCACTTACACCAATATAAACACAAACACTTCCAAAGTAGAAGAAATCATGAAGATATCATAGCATATTTTCTTTGTCTCTTTCTTTTCGGATTTTCTTTCTTCTTTCTCTTTCTTCTTTCTCAACCCCAAGTTCAAATAAATTGGTTCTATACTTCTCTTACCAATACAAAATCTCAACTTCCCGTGCCACTTTCACTTACCTTAAACTTACACATAAATTCTCTTCTCTCTTATATTGGGAACCCATCTTTTTCTTTCTTCTAAATCCTCTCTCTATTGTGTTTAGAGTCTTATAGACCGACATTCTTTTTTGTTCCAAACGAATGTTACTTCAAGTATCAAACTAAGATCCCCACATTCACCAACACCTTCAAAAAATCCCAAAAAATAAAAAATAGTTATTTCTTTCTGGGTGGTTTGCATAAACTGAAGAAGCAGATTTACTCACAGTTTGAACTGATATTCAGTAATGGGATAATTTAAGGACCACTGATCATTGTGTGTACATTTATCAATGGTGTTTGACATTGTGTTTAGCGTTCTACTATTAACTCAAGTAAAGATTCTAAGTAGAAAGTTCATTGTTTTGCAAGCACTCTACTTGGAATTTTAATTGTCTAAATTATATTTATATATATGCATAAATTAATATGAGAAATCAGTCTTAAATTACAATATTTTAGAGTGTACATTTAAATCAAGAATTCCCTAGAACTCCTACATTTAAGAACACAAACAAGCATTCAAAAAATTTTACTACAGAAAACGGTTAAGTTGACAATAAGATAACTGCAAAAAAAAAAAAAAAAAACGCAAAAGATGTGCAGAACCTTTCCTGGTGGCGGCTGTGGTGGGGCTGACATGGTGTTGGTGGTGGTGCGGAGGTCATGTAACACTGGTGGTGGAACAGTAACGGCTGAAGTGACGGCCGTTTAGGGTGGAGATCGGTTAGGGCGCGGCTGATATTGGGGTGGTGGTGGGAGAGATCAGCTGAAGTGAAGGCCGTTTGGGATGGTGACGGTGGCGACGGGTGCGGCTGTGGTGCGGCTGAAATTGGAGATTGTGGTGGCTAGGTTCAAAAACTGAAAGGAAATGGGGGGAAAATTTGAGGGTTTGTATTTTAGGAAAATGAATTTCATTTAGGATTTGATTTAGGGAAAGTGAAATTTGAAATTTAAGGTTGTGTAGAAAAAAAAAAAAAAACATTTTTTGGGAGGTGACATGGCAATATGGGTTGATGTGGCAGAGATGGCACGCCTTATTGTGAGAGTGATGTATTGTTTGGAATTGGGGGAATAGGTGAGAGAATGGAGTTAATACTGAGAAATATCAATGGAAATCAGAATCTTTTTCACTATATTTCTCATTGATAGTCTGTGTTTCATGTTTTGGTCAATTTTACACTCGATTAAGAGGAAATAGTCAGTTAGCAGCTGATAAACTCAATGTTTGCCATTTGTAAATTTCACAAGGTGAATTTTGTTACCAAGATCTTCCTACAGGCAACCACTACTTGCTCCAACTATCTCCATAATCTTGAACTGGTAAAATTTTCCAACATCAGCCATCCCTATATATAATAACAATCATCAAACACATCTTACAACATACAAATTTCAAACACATTTTTCAAGAATTAATTTAACGTACAGCAACAACAATGGATCCCAGCGATGGCTACATAATCCTCACGGCATGGTAGTGACTACGGTGCCCCGCCCCCGTCCAACTACTGGAGACGATACATATTCAGGGGCGCCATATCACATAGTCATCATGCAGGATCCTATCAAGCTGATAGTTAGGCAGCAACAGGTCATGGGCACCACTCCAATGCAGTTGGTTACAGCCACGGAGGGTCGGCTATGGTGGTGGCGGGGGTGATGGTGGGCGAGGGCGGTGGCAGTGGCACTGTTAGGTCTTCTGCAAGGCTGACCTAATTTCTCTCTGGCCGTTAAGATAATAACACCACTGGTTCTTACACAACTGACGCAAGAGAAGTTGCAGGTAATATTTTACAATAATGTTAGGTGCTAGACTTTTCTCACAATTCAACGTGACAGCACGTTATTGGTTAACGTAAATGATAGACGAGATCCGTACAAATAGGTGAAACCTATTTACGAGCTGACAATTACAAGTGCCACGTCGAAAGTCGTGGGAGTTGTGGGCATAAAATTACTCATATTTTTATCCTACTTAATTCTTTAATAGGAAAAAATGGATTGAATATGGATTCCAACCATAGCACATGTTTCATAAAACTGTACGATTCTCCGGATCTAAATAAGCATGTTTTACATGAATCCATAAATGTGATTAGTAGCGGTTTGGTTTGGTGTTTTTTATAGCATTGGTACAAAGTTGAAAGGTTCAGCAGAAACAGGAAAGATGAAGAAGGCTTTCCATGTTTTTCTCTCATTAATAAGCTACTAATCTCGCCATGAAGCACGCCAAGGAGACAAGCAACATGTAAGAATTTACGGAAGTCTCTGTTTCATGTCATCGATTCCTCCATTATTTCACCTTCATTTACAAGTTGTGCAGGTGCAGCTGGTGCCTTACAATCCAAATACTTATATGAATCTATACTGTGGTCAATGAGAAGGATTTCGGAGATGGGTACCGAGCAATGAGAATGGTTAATAACATTCGGCTGAATGTTGATGCTCTGAACGGAGACAAACAATCCGGTGGTGTTCATGACGGCACCAACATTGTGCTCGGGAATGGAACCAGGGAGACAACCAGTTATGGAGATCCAAAGCTATTGTAAGTTACTCAACAAATAATATTAAACAATTCAGGGACAGAAAAATAACTTTAGAGGAAGTTAGTTCAAAATAATATAAACTCCTCCCTTTCGAAAAAAGTTGTTTTTAAACAATTGCACACTTTTTAATGAATACTGACTTCTTATCGCTCCTCCCTGAAAGTGTGGTAGGAAATGCAATGATGAGAAAGTTGTGTTAAATGGCTTTTGAAAGAGAGAGAGAGAGAGGAGATGTCATATACAAGACAACAACACTTAATTTGAAAAAAAAATTAAACCCTCCAAATTTCATTTATAAAAAAATAGAGGGAGTATAAAACAGGGGAATAAAAATTGGGTCAAATATGGAAAATTAATACAAGTACAGGATAGTCAAAGCAAAAAAACCAAAACATATTAACCGAAAAAAAAATTGAGATCACAAGGTAAGCTCATGTTAAAATCATATTTTCTGATATTTTAATTTTTTCCTAATTTGTAGGATAAATTTGTTAATTTTACTAACTCTGAGTGAGTCAATCCCTCAGTGTTGAAGCAGGTGAAGAGTCAAGTGATATTTTCTTCTATAGCTGGCATGGCAATCATCTACTGAACAAATGAATGGCCTCTGCAGTAACATCAAAGGTATTAGAAATGGCAACTTCATAAACAACAAAATCAAAGCAACTGATTCTCTGTTTCTTCTCATAATAAATAAATAAAATGAAAGTTCAAATAGACAGATTCAAAAGTCAAGTTTAGACAACGCATATTTGAGGCTTAGTTAATGGTCAACACTGTACAAGCTCCCTGGAAATCCCAGACACAACATAGAAACAGACAAACAGCATGGACTGCACAAGCTGCAAAAACAACCCGAAGACTGCACACACTGCCAAAGGTAGAGAACAATTGCAGCAGCATCACCAACAGGCCAAACTGCAGCAGCAACACTAACAGGCCACACAATCGCCAAACACTCCCATAGGCATCAAGGAAGCACACACTGCACAGGCTACAACAGCTGCAAGCTCTCCTGGAGGCAGCAAAAAAAAACTGCAAAAACTGCTGCGTCTTCAACCAAGCTATAGCACTCTATCGGCATCAGCACAATTGCAGCAAAATCCTGCATTACTAGCCACACATCCTATAACCAACAACCAAAAGCTGCACAAACTGCATAAAACTCCTGGGGACAGCAGCAAACACACACACTTGACAGCCTATACAAACTGCAGCAACCTTCCACACACTGCAGAAAGCATAAAACTGCCGCAGCACCTCCAACAGACCTGGACAAAAAACCTGGGTTGCAACAATTTCCGAGAACAAGCACAATCCAGCAGGCCCAAGCTACACTATCCACCACAATCAGCAAACATCTCCTGGGAGAAGCTAACAATGCAGCTCTCAGGAACTCCAGGAAGCACAACACAAAAGATTACACAAACTGCACAAAAATTCTAAGAAACAGAACATTGTACAAACTGTCCAGACTGCACACAACCATAAATCTGCTGCTGTTTCTCCATTGAGCCCTAGCTTAACTGCAAACACTGTACATACAACACAGACTGCCCAAACTATATAAGCTACACAGACTGCCCAAACTACATAAGCTACACAGACTGCACAAAATATACCAGCTACATAAGCTGCACAAACTGCCCAAACACACTGCCCAGACTGCAAAAAACTCCCGAAATCTGTTAAGGCTGCAGTATATTGAACACTTTCACGATTTGTGTGTTTGGTCTAATCACAATTATTGCTCCCCTCTTTGAAAGTATATTGAACACTTTCACAATTCGTTCTACTATTAGTTGACATGCTTAGACTTCTATCAATCCCACCAGCATTTTCATTCAACATCAATTTGTTTTTCATGTCACTGATCATTTGCATCACCATATTACAATCATCGTCATTGCTTGATGCCAAATCTGCTACCATAGAGAATGAATTAAACAACTGATCAAATCGTTTTCCTTCAAGATTCGTGCTCCAACTATTATAACTTATCCTAACTTTGGTGTGGCATCTGTATATATTTTTCCTCCACCGCCTTAAAATGTACTTTTCTGGTACATGATAAATTTCCTTATGAATCAACACCGCAATTGCATGTCGACATAAAATTCCTTTAAACTCAAACAATCGACAATTGCAACGAACATCACAACTAGTTTCATCAAAGCAAACCACAAAAGGAACACGACAACACGTCTCTCCAACAATAACATCTTCCTTTACTATAAATTCCATATAAGAATCAATCTCTTTGAAAGAAGATATTTCACAATAAAGCTTGGAAGCAAGCTCTTGTTGAAACTCTTTGAATTTTACAATAGTGTATGCATTTTGAAATTGTTTCTCTATAGGATAAATGCTTATGCAAGGGATTCTTGATTTGAAAGATTTAAAATCAGCCTCCTTTTCTTTTTCCACTTTATCACGCAATGCATTCTCATATTGTTCCACAAACTGTTTTAAAGTGGTTTTTGAATTTACATATCCATTAAAGAATGCATGTATACTTTCATTACGTTGAATAGTAGACATACCTGCCCAGAAAGTATCTTTTACAAATGCCGGCACCCAACGTTGTCTTTCAGTATACAATCCAAGTAACCAGTCATTGTCGTGAAGGTTGTGCTTATCAATGAACCTATTCCAACGTTCTTCAAACTCCTCGTGTGTCAATGAATCATACACGACATTTTGCAAAGAAAACTTAATATGTTCATATTCGTGATAACTTTGTAACTTTTCCGACAATTTCTTCATTATATGCCACAAACACCATCTATGTCGTGTACCGGGAAACACGATCTCTATTGCATTTCGTATTGCTTTATCTTGATCAGTGATAATTGCCTTTGGAGCACAATTTGACATACATGCAAGCCAAGATTGAAAAAGCCATACAAATGTCTGTGTGTCCTCGTTGGAGATTAACCCACAACCTAACAATGTTGAATGGCCATGATGGTCAACACCAACAAACGTAGCAAACGGAATATCATACTTGTTGGTCAAATATGTAGTATCAAAAGTTACAACGTCACCAAATTCTTTAAATGCGGCCCTACTTCTTGCATCCACCCACATAACATTTTTTAATCGACCTTCTTCATCAAAATCCATAATATAGAAGAAATTTGAATTATCATTTTGCATTTTCAAAAAATATTTTTGTATTGCATAAGCATCCCCAACACCAAGTCGTATCCTTCCAACTTTTTTAATGTAGTTAATACAATCTTTTTGTCGGAAAGTCAAATTCTCAGGACAACTCGCTTCAACTACCAAGGAATTGAAATTTTTATTTGGTCTAATCTCAATCCTATCATTCACTTCAAGCTTCCTTTTCAAATTCGGTTGTATTGTTCGATTGCTCTTGAAATATCTAGTTTTGCCAAGACTACTAAGTTCATGATTATGATCAAAGATAATTGACACTATTTGCCATTTTCCATCAGGACGTCGAGATGCAGTACTGCGAGCCTTACAATAAGTTTTTGTCAACGATTGCGTTTTAAAGGCATTTCTAGAGTTACCATTCCACTTCCCACCACAAGAACAAGTCAGGTTTGCGTATATCAACTCTCCATCATCTCCTTTCCTTGAAGATCTTATAATAGCTTCAAAACCCATTTTATTCCCATAGCTTTTGTAGTATTGGAAAAACTTATCAAATGAATCAAAAACCATTCCAGGCTTGGGCTCCCATTCCTCTTTTGCACTTCTTGTATCTTCAATTTCTTCAAAATGATTATCCTGATTTATTGATATTATAATAGCCAGAATTAGAATATAATAATACTTAAAAGGGTGGAAATAATATCATAAAAAAATTAAAATCATATTAATGAATAAAAAAACATTATGGAGACTAAATTACCTCCATGACATTGAATTGAGAAGAACAGTTCTCTGATTTTTTTAGACTACACTCTTCCATCTTTGAGAGTGGTGGTGGAAGAAAAAGAGCAAATGGCTGCTGTTTACGGTGGTGGTGCGGTTAGGAGTGGTTGTGGCACCGTTGACAATGGAGGTGGAAAACGGTTGTGACTGGTCGTGGTGGTGCGGTTAATTAAGAAATCTATTCAAAAAATAAAAATATCTATTTCAAAAAATAAAACCTATAATCAGAAACATAAACAAAAATAGTTCCCTCAAAAATTAAATAAACTTCTACCTATGATGGAAAATGGCGAATAAACACTAGACCATAGTCAACTAAAGAAACTAAATTACAAAATAGAATCTAACACTAGTGTAATTTTCTTCCACAGCTTTCTTACAAAATAATTTCATTAAGTCAAATATATATCCATATAGACCAAACAAAATTCTATAGTTCTTTATACTTAAACACAGAGAACAAAGAATAACGCAAGTCAGAAATGTAGGAAGAACAAATAAAAGTGAGAAATTATCACACACTCTAATTGTAATAGGTTAAAAATAGGAGAGCCTTTAAGCCAATACCAATGCCAAAAAAATATGCTAAGCCGTAGCACACACCAAGCTAAATTTGTATGAATCTTTCTATTTTTTTTTTTAACATCAAATTTTTTTTTTTTCAATTGAGTTCCTAATTTGTACCTCTTTTAATTGGAATAACAAACCAAACGAAAAATACCAAAAGGTTCACGCTAAATTTTTAGGTGATTATACAATAAATAATATGACTGGAGAATGAGTACAAGTGCTGTCTCTCTCTTTTTCCTGTTCAGTGTGCTTATTATACAAACAGGATATCATTATAATCAAAGTACTATCAAAATTTAGGCTGGTCAAATTCAAACATGAAGATTCCAGGGAAGGTAACTATGTAACAGTCACAGTTGTCTGAAACCTTCATACAAAGTCTAAAAAGACTAATCATAATAAAGTTACTAAAATAGGAAGGAAAAAAAGATGAAGAAGGAACTGGAAGCGATGACCAATTAATGATCGACAATTTTACCTTTTATGTTTGACCAAAGTAGTTCTAAACCTCAAAATTACTATTCTTAGAGCATTTTCAAAGGAATTTTTATATGACCTAAACTCTTTATTATAAAAAGTTTATCCATAGAAACAAAAGTCCAACAGACTCTTTATCTTTAAATAAAAATTAAAGAGTAAGATTGGCTCTCTACATTTAGAGAGTCAAATTTCACTCTCTATCCTAATTTTAAATAATAAATTGCAAGTTTCTATGCATTTTATTTATGATTTATCTCTCCTATTAAATTTCTTTCTTGAAAAAACATATTCTCTCTACTAAAATTTAAAGAGTCTATAGGATTTGAATAAAAAATTTGTTCTTTATATTTAAAAATCAATGAAGATGCTCTTTATTTATATAAAATATGCTCTTTAAAATAAAGAGCACCATTAAAGATGCTCTTATGAAAAAGAAATCTAAGTTACGAAAGAAAATTCAAAAGTGAACCTATGAATTGACTCAAAGAAGAAGATAAAAGAGAAGAGAAAAAAAAAAGAGTGGTCTGCTCTCTTTACATTTTATCATAAGCCATGGAAATGGTAAAGACAGATCAGTCGTGTATCTGTATCAATATCGTCACTTACACCAATATAAACACAAACACTTCCAAAGTAGAAGAAATCATGAAGATATCATCATAGCATATTTTCTTTGTCCTCTTTCTTCTTCGGATTTTCTTTCTCTCTTTCTCTTTCTTTCTTTCTCAAACCCCAAGTTCAAATCAAATTGGTCTCTATACTTCTCTCTTACCAATACAAAATCTCAACTTCCCGTGCTTCACTTTCACTTTAACCTTAAACTTACACATAAATTTCTCTTCTCTCTTATATTGGGAACCCCATCTTTTTCTTTCTTCTAAATCCCTCTCTCTATTGTGTTTAGAGTCTTATAGACCGACATTCTTTTTTGTTCCAAACGAATGTTACTTCAAGTATCAAACTAAGACTCCCCCACATTCACCAACACCTTCAAAAAATCCCAAAAAAATAAAAATATAGTTATTTCTTTCTGGGGTTTTGCATAAACTGAAGAAGCAGATTTACTTCACAGTTTGAACTGATATTCAGTAATGGGATAATTTAATGGACCACTGATCATTTGTGTGTACATTTATCAATGGTGTTTGACATTGTGTTTAGCGTTCTACTATTAACTCAAGTAAAGATTCTAAGTAAGAAAGTTTCATTGTTTTGCAAGCACTCTACTTGGAATTTTAATTGTCTAAATTATATTTTATATATATGCATAAATTAATATGAGAAATCAGTCTTAAAATTACAATATTTTTAGAGTGTACATTTAAATCAAGAATTACCCTAGAACTCCTAACATTTATAGAACACAAACAAGCATTCAAAAAATTTTACTACAGAAAACGGTTAAAGTTGACAACTAAAGATAACTGCAAAAAAAAAAAAAAAAACGCAAAAGATGTGCAGAACCTTTCCTGGTGCGGCTGTGGTGGCGGCTGACATTGGTGGTGGTGGTGCGGAGGTCATGTAACACTGGTGGTGGAACAGTAACGGCTGAAGTGACGGCCGTTTAGGGTGGAGATCGGTTAGGGCGCGGCTGATATTGGTGGTGGTGGTGGAAGAGGATCAGCTGAAGTGAAGGCCGTTTGGGATGGTGAACGGTGGCGACCGGGTGCGGCTGTGGTGCCGGCTGAAATTGGAGATTGTGGTGGCTAGGTTCTAAAAACTGAAAGGAAATTGGGGGGAAAATTTTGAGGGTTTGTATTTTAGGAAAATGAATTTCATTTAGGATTTGATTTAGGGAAAGTGAAATTTGAAATTTAAGGTTGGTAGAAAAAAAAAAAAAAACATTTTTTGGGAGGTGACATGGCAATATGGGTGTGATGTGGCAGATGAGATGGCACGCCCTTATTTGTGAGAGTGATGTATTGTTTGGAATTGGGGGAATAAGGTGAGAGAATGGAGTTAATACTGAGCAACATATCAATGGAAATCAGAATCTTTTTCACTATATTTCTCATTGATAGTCTGTGTTTCATGTTTTTGGTCAATTTTACACTCGATTAAGAGGGAAATAGTCAGTTAGCAGCTGAATAAACTCAATGTTTGCCATTTGTAAATTTCACACAGGTGAATTTTGTTACCAGATGATCTTCCTACAGGCAACCACTACTTGCTCCAATTCTATCTCCATAATCTTGAACTGGTAAAATTTTCCAACATCAGCCATCCCTATATAATAATAACAATCATCAAACACATCTTACAACATACAAATTTCAAACACATTTTTCAAGAATTAATTTAACGTACAGCAACAACAATGGATCCCAGCGATGGCTACAATAATCCTCACGGGCATGGTAGTGACTACGGTGCCCCGCCCCCGTCCAACTGCTACGGAGACGATACATATTCAGGGGCGCCAATATCACATAGTCATCATGCAGGATCCTATCAAGCTGATAGTTAGGCAGCAACAGGTCATGGGCACCACTCCAATGCAGTTGGTTACAGCCACGGAGGTGTCGGCTATGGTGGTGGCGGGGGTGATGGTGGCGAGGGCGGTGGCAGTGGCACTGTTAGGATCTTCTGCAAGGCTGACCCTAATTTCTCTCTGGCCGTTAAGTATAATAACACACTGGTTCTTACACCAACTGACGCAAGAGAAGTTGAGCAGGTAATATTTTTACAATAATGTTAGGTGCATGACCTTTTCTCACAATTTCAACGTGACAGCACGTTATTGGTTAACTGTAAATGGATAGACGAGATCCGTACAAATAGGTGAAACCTATTTTACGAGCTGACCAATTACAAGCTGCCACGTCGAAAGTCGTGAGATTGAGTTGTGGGCATAAAATTACTCATATTTTTATCCTACTTAATTCTTTAATAGGAAAAAATGGATTGAATATGGATTCCAACCATAGCACATGTTTTCATAAAACTGTACGATTCTCCGGATCTAAATAAGCATGTTTTACATGAATCCATAAATGTGATTAGTAGCGGTTTTGGTTTGGTGTTTTTTTATAGCATTGGTACAAAGTTGAAAGGTTCAGCAGAAACAGGAAAGATGAAGAAGGCTTTCCATGTTTTTCTCTCATTAATAAAGCTACTAATCTCGCCATGAAGCACGCCAAGGGAGACAAGCAACATGTAAGAATTTTACGGAAGTCTCTGTTCTCATGTCATCGATTCCTCCATTATTTCACCTTCATTTACAATGTTGTGCAGGTGCAGCTGGTGCCTTACAATCCAAATACTTATGATGAATCTATACTGTGGTCAATGAGCAAGGATTTCGGAGATGGGTACCGAGCAATGAGAATGGTTAATAACATTCGGCTGAATGTTGATGCTCTGAACGGAGACAAACAATCCGGTGGTGTTCATGACGGCACCAACATTGTGCTCTGGGAATGGAACCAGGGAGACAACCAGTTATGGAAGATCCAAAGCTATTGTAAGTTACTCAACAAATAATATTAAACAATTCAGGGACAGAAAAATTAACTTTAGAGGAAGTAAGTTCAAAATAATATAATACTCCCTCCCTTTCGAAATAAAAGTTGTTTTAAACAATTGCACACTTTTTAATGAATACTGTATCTCTTATCGCTCCTCCCTGAAAGTGTGGTAGGAAATGCAATGATGAGAAAGTTGTGTTAAATGGCTTTTGAAAGAGAGAGAGAGAGAGAGGAGATGTCATATACAAGACAACAACACTTAATTTGAAAAAAAAATTAAACCCTCCAAATTTCATTTATTAAAAAAATAGAGGGAGTATAAAACAGGGGAATAAAAATTGGGTCAAATATGGAAATATTAATACAAGTACAGGATAGTCAAAGCAAAAAAACCAAAACCATATTAACCGAAAAAAAAATTTGAGATCACAAGGTAAGCTCATGTTAAAAATCATATTTTCTGATATTTTAATTTTTTCCTAATTTGTAGGATAAATTTTGTTAATTTTAACTACCTCTGAGTGATCAAGTGATTCGATAAAAACTCTTAGGTATATTATTCAAAATATTTTGAATTTGAGTCCCTCATCGGTTACTAATAGGGATAACCACGGGGTTTTTATCCGACCGATAGTTTCTAGGTCCCGAAGGATTAGTTGAAATGTACATAAGCTAGCCTGAACATCTCCGGTCGAAAAAAAAATTGTTGATTTTTTGCCATATCAAGGAGTTAATTTGTAGTGGTGGCTTTTTTTTAGAGATGGAGTGGTGTTGCTTCGCTAAATGAGTGGTTTTATTCTTCTGTGTTTACTTGGTATTATCTTGTTGTTTGTAATAAAAGCTTATGGATAATTAGCAAATTAATATAAATCACACATATTTCTATTGAATTAATGCATACTTACAATGTGTTCTGGTCTTTGGTTACTTCTATTATCAGCTAAATCCTTCGTGTTACCAAATAGTTGAACAATGATAATAAATTACGAGTTCTTAATTGTGATCTTCCGTATTACCAAAGAGTTGAATAATAAAAACGGATTATGAGTTTAATTTTATATATATTACATGTTATCAAAAAGTTGAACATTAAAGATAGATTATAAGTTCTTAGCTGATACGTCGTTAAAAAACCTTCATATAAGCCACAATGATAAATACTAAGCCGATAACATGTTTTGAGAGAATTCATTCGAATATTCAATTAAATGTATTTTAATTAAAAAAAACCAGGGAATTAAATAATTCATATTTTTATTGTATGTTAGTTTTTAAAAATTGTTTTAATATCATAAAATAAACTTATAATTTTATTTGCTCTTAATTATGAGATTAATTAAGTTATTAAATACTTAATAATTTTAAATTTTAAACTTGTAAAAGTTGATAAATAGAGTTGAGTTAGGATTAAGTCATGTCAGAAAATTAATTATGAAAATAGGGTGTAAAATGACATCGATTTTTGTCTTGTAATTAGAGTTGTTAATGACTTTTTAATTAGTTAATTTTCAAAATCAAATTCTTCTTATAGTTTGGTTAAAAACAACCAATCAAAATCAACCTCCTGTACTTTTCAATTCATCTCGCATCACTATTTTTCACCTACTTTTTTCTATTAATCAATTCTAAAATATATTCAATTTCATACAACTATTCATTACATCATCTATTTTTCTTTTTGGAAATACAATATAATAAAAGGAAAATTATTATATATTTTTTTTGATAACCCGAGTTTAATCCCCGAGACCTACTAAACATCCTACAAGCCCAATGGATTAAGCTATATAATAAAAGAAAAATAAAAAATAAAAAAATTTAATAAATCAAGCAAGTCACAAATGTGGTTAGTGGGAAAAACCATCCAAAGAAGGTCATGTCATCTCATCCTGTGAGGGGATCTTCTCTCTTTCCTCTTTTGAGGAGGTCTAAGTTGAGAGGAAAGGAATGTCGGGAATGAGAGATGGACTAGAGCTTGTGGTTAACTATTTATATTCATCTTCCTCGCAATTAAGCCTTGACGAGGGTGAGTGCAAAGAGAAAGAGGCAGAGTAGGAATTCGGAATAGACAGTTTGAAAGAACAACGTAACTGCAACTATTGAATCAACCTTCCCTGACTCCAATCGGAGACTCATACACAAGATCTTTAGGTAACCCACCCAGATAGCTAAAGTTTTGCCATCTAACCACAAGCCCGATGGTTATTTTTACACTTTATTTATTTTAATTAATATTTAATTGCATGTTAAAAAATTAGGTAGGGTAATGTATATATGAAACATAAATTTATTGACCCTCATAGTATAATTAATTTCATTAAATTAAATAAGCAAATAAACAAAATAATTCACACCAATACATTGACTAAACAAATTAAATGGGGTCGTGACAGCTCTATCAATATTAGTTGATATAGTACAATTCATTCAATACATTAATAATTTTTCATTATTCAATCTACTAAAATCTTGGTATTAATTTGATTTGATTAAAATAGGTGGTGCCTTACCCCTTTATTGCATTTTGACCGATTTTTCATACTCTAACTGATTTTCGTAGTCTAAAAATTAATAAGTTGAATTAAGAGTAATAATGCAACGACGAATATGAAGAATCGGGTCAATCTAAACACGATACGATCACATGACTCAAATATGTATTTATAAATATTTTGAACAAAATTTTTAATATGAAACGGTAATTGTCACGTCATATTTTTAATTTTCTTAATATATTTTTAATTTTTACTTCCCAGTTATATAATATAATTTGGTTTTGTGTAGGGAATTTGAATGCTAAGAGCAGTTATTAAACTAGTGTTTGACAGGAACAAAACCGTAGGCTGTGGTCCAATGGGCCTAATTTGGCAGCAGTCTAATCAAACTAGAAAGTACAAGGCCTACTTTAACCGTGGTAATATTAATTTTACTTTTATATTTAGATGTAAATAATAGTAACTGTTGTTATTTAGTTTATAAGAATAGGTGTTAAGTAACCAACCCTCGGGTTATGATTGGTTTAATAAAGACTCTTTGGTATATTATTCAAGAGATTCTAAGTTCGAGTCCCTCTTTAGTTATTAGTATGGGTAATCACTGGAGTTTTTATCTGGCGATAGTTATAGGATCATGTGAGATTAATTGAGGTGTGCGTAAACTAATCCGAATAACCTTTATTATCCAAATATATATATAAGGGTTAGATAAATGCCACCCTGATTTTCCCCTCAATTTTTGGAAAATAACGCTAGCACCCCCATTTAGGGGTGAGCAGTTCCGGGTACCCTGCATTTTCCGAGGG